CCCCCCCACCCCCAGAAATACTATAAAATGTGGGCTTTAAAAAAATTGTTAAAATGCTTAGTAGGTTCATTGAATTACATAGTCCAGAAGATTTACCATACAAGTAAGACCTCCGTAAATATTTTTCCATTGCTTTGACAGGCCTTCAAATCATGCTAAATCTCTATCAAGAAAAAGTGGTTTCATATATTAGCTTGGTCTTGTATTGGCATTTCCATCATTCTTTATGGCAAGAAAGTTCATTTAGTTGATTCGCTGCTTGTTCTTAATGCTTGAATACACATACATTTGACTTAAGCATGTCGAACATCAATCTATTGGAACTATTTAAACTTATAAGTCTTTTTTGTTTTAATATAGATAAAGGGCATTGGAGAAGCGCTTGAAGGTGTTATTGGTTATACTCGGAGACATTTCAAGAGACTAGATAGATTAGAAAGGGACAGTTTCATTCTGGACTTTAATTTAGCTAGTATGTTGGTCATTGAGCCAGAAGGGAATGAGGAAAAAATTGAGAACAAGGATGCCACACTTTCTACTGCTGCAGATAGTGAGAAAAAATCATCCAAAAAGCGAAAATTGCATATATCAACACATGTCGCCGGTAAGAAAATGAAGGGGCCGAGTGATACCTCACGCAGTGTATGTTGTCGTTAAAGCAATAAAGTAATTTTAGATTTTAGAAATGAGATACAGGGACTTGTAATTTATTATTAGACTAATTCTATGAGGATTTATTATAAGGTTATTAGGAGAACGTATCATAATAATTTATATGTGAGAGCATTTATTAGGGATATAAATCCTCCCACTTCTCTCTCCCTTTACAAAGTTGCATATATGTTCTAATTACTAAGGTTCCACTTTTTTCTTCTCTCTCCCAATTCTGTAATAGAACGTATCATAATTTATTATTACACTAATTCTATGAGGAATTATTCTGGAGGATTTCAGATATAACTAGTGAAACCTAAATATGCGAAATGATTCTATTCTAATACCCAAATATAAGAAATATGTTAAGATTCCTTTAAAATTCTAAAATTCAAATAGATTAAATTTCATGTTCTAATTATCTACAATTAGTTCTATAATTTTTCTTAATTTTTCACTGCGTAAGAGTTTTTGGTCTTCTAGGGATACTTGAAATGTATTAAGGCGATACTATTTTTAATTTTTCTTAGAAGATGGGTAAAGAACGAGAATTATTTTTAAAAAAAAATACGATCGGTTTAAGTGTTGTACGTGTAACAAAATTTAAATCACGATATTTTTGACATTTTATATATATATATATATATATATAATCTTGTCCGTACAAGTAAAAAGGACGACAAAACATAATGAATAATGATCAGTTTAAGTATCGTATGTGTAACAAAATTTAAATCATGATATTTTTGACATTTAATGTATATGTATATAAATTATAAATATGTATCATCTTTTCCATACAAGTAAAAAGGACGATCTTTTCCATACAAGTAAAAAGGACGACAGCACATAATGAAAGAAAAAAAAAGAAGTAAAACCTAATCCATATACCCAATTATATCAAACACAAAAAGAACTACAATATTGCTGGAGGCTTGAAGTGAACCGACCACAATCATTAGAAGTTTAAGAAGTAGAAAATAACCTCTCGCGTACTCTTTCCATCGTAGGAAAATTATATTTCAGTGTAGCTTCCTTCTTCCCTTATAATAATACATAATCAGCATTTGAGTTTCGGATACCGAACGATTAAATTAAAAAAAAACGTAAACAAAAGTAACCTAGATTATTGGCTTCATAAAATCCCCATATACCGTATAAAGAAAAATACATTCCCACCTGAAAAACAACAGTATAACTTAGTTCTTAAAAATAACCTCATATATTATTGGCTTCGTACTATTAGTCATATACGGTATGAAAAAAAGAATTAAGCAGCCAGTTCCCACTTAAAGAAAATACAACAGTATTATTATTTTATTCTTTCTTTCTTTCTTTTTTAGAATAAAGATGTATGGCAATGCATAGCACATTTTTCATCAAGCTAACAATATCATCAGCGCTAGCCACCAGAATATGGGATATTGATGTTAAAAACGTTGAAGGACCTTATAAATGTAGGATGTGAATCTTTAGCATTCATTGTTGTTCCTAAATGCTGAATATGAAAGGGTGGAAGCTAAGTAACGACCATTTTTGTAACACAACCGTTGATAAAAATGAAGTTGGAGTTGTGTTTGGTTATAGTTTTTGCAAAGAATATTTGGTTGTTTGAATGTAATGAAAGTGAAAACAAGGTTTTTGGTGTTTTTCAATCAAGGCCCTAGGATGACTCAGCAAGCTTGAACTGAAATGCTCTTTGTAAGGTCTATACTTTCCTTTACTCCTACAGTCCTACTCAATGAATTGAAGATGCAGGCAGTGTTCCTGAAAGCCAATCCTTGAAGGAATTGATGGAATTCGGGCATCACCTAAATTGAAAATAATTAATATGTGAACCATCAAAAATAGGGCCGGATCCACTTTCGAGGGTAGGTAACTTCCGAGGGTATCAATGAATTGAGTTTCAGAAATTTGCAACAGCGATTTATGGTAAAGGGCAATACCATAATATCTTCTTAAGACTATACGTGATTTGATATTTGGATAAGTATTGAACCATTTCGCCTCCACACTTTTATCTATGCATCCCAAACCACAACTCCCATCTTCAATTGATCCTATAGGAATGAATAATCAAGAAAATCAATGAATTCATTGCATACAAGACCATATTTGTAGATGGTAAAGGATATTACCTCGTCATTGCCAACTTCTACATGCATCTGGTTCATGTCACTTAGAAAGCAGAGAGGCACACTTGAATTGCAAATCGTCAACGATATCCCTCCTTTGAGAAATAAGTACAAGTATTTTCAGATGAGTGTATGCTCTTGATGTTTGGCTATAATTATATATTTTTAGTGCATTACTTACTATACATTTAGGTGCTTTAATGCTAAACTATACTATATGTGTGCTTAATTGAGTTTATTTTATGTGTAGGTACATTGGAAATGAAATTTGAGCAAAGTAAATATTTAAAGTGTAATTTATGCACTAAAAGAATGGGCTTATGATTATATAATAATAAAGTAATTATGGAAGACAAATCAAAAGGAGACAAAAGTCAAGTGGAAAAGAGAAAAAAACAAAAACGTGAAAGAAGGGAAAAGTAGGCAGCAAAATTTGAATCGAAGAAGCAGCAGGCGAGGCAAGCAAATTTCCTGGCATTCTCCCTCGCAACGCGAGGGTGCAGCGAGGTTTACCGCGCGTTTGGCCTCACGAAGCGCGGTCTGTCGCGAGGATGTTCCGGGTTCCAGGCCTATTTTGTCTCATATTTGGTTTTGGACTTGGTTATTTCGTCTAGGTTTTTCCCTACACATATAAATAGTCATTAAACACCATTTTGAGGGGATTTGACCTAAGGAGGCAAGACCACACTAGGATCAAGGCGGGGAATTCTTCTACGAGTTTTTTACTTCCTTCTTCCTATTTTCATTATTGGTTATGAATTTTAGTATTGTAGTTTTGTATACTATTATGAATAGCTAATTTATTATCTAGAGTTTTGATATAACCTTTTGTAGGATAAATTCTTTGTTATGTTTCTATATCATTGAGTCGTTGGATTTCTCTACTTGTTCAACTACGTGTTTATTGTTGTTGATTGAATGACCATCAATTGACTGTGCCTATTTAGTATGTATTGCTTGGAAAATGGTATATATTTAGGTAGTTGTTGAACAACATCACTCCTGGCATATGTGAGGAATCAATACGAAGGGTTTAAAGGTGATATTAGGAATAATAAAACCTTGGTGCGATCTTAGTGAGCAGTAAACTAGTGCCAGCTAGCGTAGTTCGGAAGAATATGTCTAGTAAATTGTAGTAGTTGCTCGGAAGAGAATTATGATACCTGAAGTACTCACGATCGGTAGAAAATACTTAGGCGAAATTATAGAAGGTATAGCGGGAAGGATTCCGACAATTGGGAAAATCATAACTCTAGACCTCCTTAGTCTTGTCACAAATTTCATCCTTGTTAGTTGATAATTTTACTGCTTTTTAATAGTTGTTAGTTAATTAGTTAGAAATAAATATTATAATCTCTATAATTAGGAAATTGTTCGGACTTGTGTTTCTTAGCAATATTGAATAACTGTAGCTAAGCCTTAGTTCTCTGTGGGATTCGATTCCGGGCTTGTAAACCGGATTATATTTGCAACGATCGCTTAGTCCTTTTTATAAGGCATAATTGGGCGTGATCAAATTTTGGTGTCGTTACCGGGGAACTAACGGTGTAGTTATATGTGTACATATTGCTAGGTTTCAAGTTTGAACTTTATTTAGTCTTGTTTTTTATTTTATTTTATTTTATTCTACTTGTTGATTTGAGAAACATGACATCTTGAAATTATGGGAGTTTAGGTGTTGGTAATTCTACTATTGATCCTCATATATATTGTGAAGAAAATCACCCATGGCAAAATTATCAAAATATTCCCGAGAGTGAGTTATGTGCACAAACTCAATCTTATGTGTGGAATATATGTGACGTTTGTAGTGGTCAAGATGGTCACTTTTATGATTGTGCTTGTATTTCTTATCCTCCCCCAACCCCTTATTATGATGGTTCTACATTTTCATGTGAAGTTAATAGGAACAAAGAACCTGGGGACGTTGGCCTGAAGGAGATCAAAGATAAGTTGAAGTGCCTTGTGGAACAATATGATGAGAAACCACTGCAGATACAAAGACAAGAGGCAGCTGTTCACAACTTGGAGGCTCAAGCGAATAAACAAATTGAACCTTGTAAAGCACAACATGCTTACAGTGTGGATAGTAGCCAAGAAGAACATGAATTGGCTGTAGAAATTGCCATTATAATGGAGGAGTTGAGAAGAGAATATGACCAAACCAACCAACTAGAATTTGATGATGTCGATGTTGAAGAAGTGGTACTGGAGTCAACTGAGGACCTTACAGATACAATTTTAATTAATTCTTTGTGGCAAGAAGAGGAGGTCGATAACAAGTTGAATTTTGAGTTTGAGCACATTGGTCCTCACTCCAATTATTTTTCGACATTGTGCTCAGAAGGAGGTATGGAAATTGATTTATATGAGCCAATGCAAGAGTCAAAGGAAGAAGTGGATGAGCCCTAGATTCTGAAATTTTCAAGGCCATCTAGGCAAGGTGACACTCCTCGATTGAAAGCCAAAAAGTGCATAAAGAATCACTTAATTTTTGGCTCGCAGCAATTTGTATCGCCCTAAGAGCATGATCCTAGAGCAGAATCAAAACTTGGGATCCAATTCATAAGTTTGAAGTAGAGGCAAAAAGTGGTTCATGCCGTGCCACGACGTTAACTAAGGCGCTTGTTGGGAGACAACCCAACTTTACTGTTTTTTTTTATTTTTTATTTTGTTTTTATTTCTGTAATTTTTATTTCTTTAATTTTTATTATATTATTTTTGTAGTATAGTTTTTTTTATTTTGTAGGAGCATGGAAAGAAAATCTATTGGAAGGATGCAACAGTAAGCCAGATGGTTGGAACTAAGTGTGAGGTACCCGCACGAAGGACCATGCCTGGGAGAAGTCTGAGTACCCCATGAGCTGCTAGTGCTTCGACCTTTGGCCTACCATGGAGTTTCTTTTACCCTTTTATTAGTTATGGTGTGCACTGGAGACAATGCACAATTTTAAGTGTGGGGTGAGGAGATTGTCGGGGTGATTTTTTATGCTATTTTAGTTGTCTTAGTTTAATTGAATAGTTTTTATTTTTAGAAAATAG